GTCCGCTCGTTTTCTTCCCCCGGTCCCCTCTGCAGCTCGGGTCTGGCCGCTGCTCCTCTGCCCCGCCTGCTATTGGATATTTTAAAATGCAATCGCCAATAGCAGGCTGGCTATTGCACCCGCACACATGAGAGTTCTCCATCAGGTCCTCCTATGCTGATTGACAGCAGGCAGTGGGCAGATGCAATAGCCAGCCTGCTATTGCATCCATTTTCATATACATATGATATTCATATCTATTCAAATCTATCATTTTATCCAGGTGGAACCTTTTATTTTCCTATGTCAATGTCAGGAACGTAGAACTAATGCCCATAGCATAAGGAGGGCTCGAGTTACTACACACACTATGGCACGCAGAAACGTGCATGGTGACAGACGAGCAGTAACTGCACATGTGCGTGTGCAACGTGCGCATAATCGCGTGCAACGTGCACGTATGACCGCGCACGTGCCCAGTGCACGAATTGGCGCCAATCGGCCTATTTAAACCCCAAGCAGCAACTGATAGTTGCTGGAAGATCTCAGCTGTACCTGTACCTGTGTTCCTGTATCTGAATCCTGTGACTGACCCGGCTTGCTCCTGTTTCCTGCTGTCTGCTGCCTGCCTTCTGACCTCGGCTTGTCTGACTATTCTCCTGCCTCCTGATTCGGCTCCGATCTGTCTGTTTGGTTCTGAACCGGCTTCAACTGACCATGTCTACCATCCGGATTCTCCTGGCCTACCAGCCACTGACCCAGTCCGCCTGAATCCTGCATCTGGCTGCCTGAATCCTGAATCCTGCATCTGGCTTCCTGCATCCGGCTTCCTGCATCCTTACCAGCAGGTGATCAGCATCCACAGGCACTGGTGTCTCTCTACGTCCGTGCGCTACCTGTGCCATCTCCAGGGGTGCTCTGACGAGAGTTGAAATGGCCACTTGTGGTCTCCATCGGGAAGCCTGTGTGACAGGGCCGACAACACAGCAGATATATAAGAATGGATGTCGCCCCCTAACAGGACGTTCCTTGAAAATGGACCTTCATGGCATCACATATTATTTTATAGCTGCAGACATTAATAAGGGACTTTTATTTCGTGATTTGCTTTACATCTTCTGAAACATTTTTCCTACCAAAATCAGTCACGTACTTATTTCGACACCCTGCTTCAAGATTAAAGCCGCCCTAGAAAAAAAACTTGGCTACATGAAGTTTAACTTCATTTTCACATCACATGAATGTAAATGACTCATAATTAATGGATAAATAAGTAATTATAATTGTAGGATATTATAAATCTGATATACATATATATAGGGGAACCAAGCCCAGACTAGCATTCTACTGGCAGCAATACATAACTCACATGATAACTGAAGGCAACCAATGAGGAAATTGAAGCAGAATTGGCAATGTTCCAAATGTTCCATGTACCAATTACATGATGGGTGTTATTTCCCCTAGGACAGTTCCAGATGAACAAAATTGATTGTGGTGCGCAGTTCCTGAGTAGTTAGGTGCCAACCCCTGGTTAGGTAACAATATCAAAAAAGAAAGAAAGCAGTTGGGGGGATTTTAGGCACCAAATGACAAGTCTGATGAGCTCCAGACGAGAGTTTATATATAAAAAATATATTGTTTATTTAAATCCATACAAAAAGTTAAAAACATCAATTTGTTGATATATAAAAAAAACACACGAATTAGAGAGAGAACCTCTTAACAACCACTAAGTTCCGAAATCGAGGCTATGTTAAATATGATCAAGAATCTAATAGCATGATTATTGCAACTTATATAATGTAATACAATAAATGGACAGATACAGTTCATGAAGAAATACAGTCCATTTTGTAATGGTGAAAAACCTCTAATGGACCCCCCCC